GAAATCCCATGGCTTTTCTATTTTTTATTTATTTATAGCTTTTCCTCATTTAAAAGGACAGCAAAGGAATGTTGGGATTGCCTGAGGGAAGCTCTTGCTAAGGAGCTTTCCAAGAATTGTGGAAGATTTCAATCTTTTCATGTTGTCCTGCAGAGACATCTGCCCGCCCTTCCCTCATCCCTCCTTTTGGTCAGGTTTGCCACTGGGTTTTCATCTGGATCAGAGGCAGAGAAAGCTGTGAGAGATTTGGGGGGAAAAAAGGGCAAAACAAGGTTAGTGGCACAAGGGCTGGTGGGGGAGAGGCTGCTGTGCTGGCACTGCCCATGGGGGGCTGCTGGGATGGTTTTGAGGCAGCTTAGGCTCTCCTGAAATATTAATCAACAGGCAGACTTGATTGGCTTGGGGGGTTCTTTGAGCAGAGGGGCCCAAAGGATGGAGAGGGTGATGTACATCTAATTGGCCCCAGTTAAAACTGTTGACTCTGAGGTCTGATAGCTGCCTTGCTGCAACTGCCCGTGGCAGGGAAGTGGATTTAGGAGAGGGCTTCCAGCATTCAAATTCAAGGATGAATGAAACGGCCTGCTGGACACTGGGGCAGGCTGGGGCTGTGGTTATTTCCAGAAAGGCTGTGAAACTCCTCCAGTTTTCATGTGTGACTTTGCTCCCCTCTTCCAAATGATGGATGTTGTCTCTCTTTAACTTTGTTCTGCGAATATTTAGTTTTTAGTGATAATTCCCGGCTTTGAAGAAGTAAATTTTTCTGTTTGAAAATTTTGAGCAGGGCTTTTCTGGAAGCTGTCTGCTGTTCTGTGCCTTGGAGTGCACAGACCTGGCCAAGAATGGCCACCAACCCCTGAGATTTCACCCCAACACGTGTTGCCCCATCCCTGGAAGTGCCCAAGGCCAGGTTGGATGGGGCTTGGAGCAACCTGGGCTGGTGGAAGGTGTCCCTGCCCATGGCAGAGGTGGAATGAGATGAACTTTAAGGTCCCTTCCAACCTTGTGGGATTCATGGGGAACCAAAATAGAGCATACATCTCATTCTTAGTGCTGGAACTGAGATAGAAGGTTCCTCTGGGTGGAGCTGAGTTACTAAACTGAGGTTTTAAAATAGCCAAGGATCTTGTTGGAGTTTGTGCTTTAATGTAGTGATGTGGAAGTGGAACTGAGAAGTTCTGAATGTGGTGGTGGACATGAAAAAAAAACGAAGACCATGTTGGGGAAAAGTAAACTTGGCAAGGAGAATGCAATTTAAATGATCTTGGTGCCTGCTTTAAAAAGACACGAGTGACACTGTGAGTGTGTGGTGCTTTTGATCACTGATGCAGAAGTTAAATGAGCAGCACATGCAACTGTGATTAATTATTGACAGAAGTCATTCCTTTCATATGTACAGTCTGTAGTGAGACATGAAGGTTGAGTTCACTTGAATTCCAGAGTCGGGCAGTAATGCAAACAGTCAACTTCATACATGTGGTTCTGTTTATTATGCAAATCTCTTCCAATATGTTTAAATCCACATGTGGTAGTTGGGGGGTTTGGTGCTTCAGCAGAAGATTTTTGTGGACTTCACAATTTGGGCTTTGCCTGCTCCGGTGTGAGGGATCCAGTGTTTGGGTCGTGCTGTAGCTGTAATTTAATTTCCTTTATTTAGGAAGAAAAGGCAAATCCCTGGGATTGTCTGTGATGTTCTAAGTATTTGACCTTTTCACCTGAACTTCCATGGGTCTTGGGATTAATTTGGAATAAATCATTCCTTCCTGAGGAATTCCTCTGAGAACCAGCTTGGTCAGTGGGTAGTTCAGTGTCCATCCCAGTGATGGCACACAAACCTCCTTGTGTTTCGTTGCCTCTCCTCCCTGACTTGTGCTTTGGGAATGTACACATCTTCCAAAATAATATTTAAAGTGTCAGGGCTTCTGATGTTCTTGTTACCCTTGTGCCTCTGCCCTTTGGCTTGGGAGATGTTTCTGCACCTCTCCAAGCTGGTAGCAGTGCTCTGCTCCTCATCTATTTTGAATTTTCTATGGTGAGGAAATCCAGTGCTGCTTTTTTATTGAAGCTTGTTGACATTAATAGAGAGCTCCCATTTTGTTTCACACATGTAAACCTCCACGAGTCAGGGATAATACTTGCCCTGAGACTGATGGTTTTCCTTGAATCCTGAGAATCTGCAGAGGAGCTGAAACCTCCTTGTGTTGTTTGGCCTTGGCTGGTCCTCCCACTGCTTAGTCTTGCAGATGAAATGGGATTCTGTTTATCCATCTTTTGCAGTAATGAGGGAAGGAATGATGCATGCACAGGTAGGGGGGAAGGAGAAGCAGGTCTGTTCAAATCATGCCATATGGACATATTGATATATATAAATGTATAGTTCTGGAATTGTCAGGGAAAAGTGTTTTGGAACAGAGCTGTGGAATGTAAATGGTAGTTGGGGTTATGAAGGGGAATGCAGGGTAGAATCATGGATTCATGGGATGGATTGGGTTGGAAGGGACCTTAAAGCCCATCTCATTCCACCCCCTGCCATGGGCAGGGACACCTTCCACTAACCCCATCCAACCTGGCCTTGGACACTTCCAGGGATGGGGCAGCCACAGCTTCCCAAATCCACAGTAGCTCAGAGCAAACCAGGAAGAAGGGTAGTTCCTGCCAGGACCTAATAGCCAATCTAAAGCTCCCCAGTCCACTGCCCACTGTAAGGAAAAATATTCCTTCCCTCAGGAAGGGAGGAAAACATCTCACCCAAGCTGTGTCCCTTTGGAGTCCTCAGGCTCCTGCAGCAGGTCTCACTGCAGTGTTCCCAAATGGAAATTGCTGCTTGTTTGTGATTTTCACCTGGGCATGGTACAGAAAGAATTTTCCTGTGGCCTCAGGTTCTGATGGAATGGGATATTTCAGGTCATGGAACAGGAGCCAAATGACCCCAAGTGTCTTGTCTTGCACCTGGGATGCCAGAGGTTAACCTGAGTCTTCAGAGCGTTTTAATCTGAGCCTTTGGTTTTCCTTCTCCTTCCAGTGGGTGTGTGGGAGGCAGCTCCAGTCTGTAATCCACCAAAATGCTGATTATTTTCCCTGTGTTTTCATACAAACACACATGTCCCACTGTACAGCGTCAGTTCACAGCTGAAATACAAAGCCATGTGTTAAATATAACTGGGGAAGGCTTCCAAATTCCTGGCTGATGGGTCTTTTTGTAATATTGAAGCAAAAGTAATTTATTTATTAATAGAGATACACTGGAAAATACAGGTTTGCTTTGAGATTGTTTTCAGTTGGTCACTGGGAAAGCTTGGATGGTCTTTTAAGTTAGTGAGGATAGGGAATTGCCTCCAGGTTCTTTATTCTCCAGATGAAAAGATCAAATGAAAGAACCTTTTCCCTCAGCTGATGGGTGTGTTGGAGGGGGAGCAGTGGCTTGCAGAACCTTTGCTCCCCTGTGGACAACATGGCCAGGTGTAGCTTTCTGCCTGTTACTTCCTGTGGCATTAGGAATTGTTTGGAATGCCAGGACTCTCCGTGCTGTTCAATTCCTGTACAGTGGGAGCTGTTCTGCTGTTTAATTCCTGTACAGTGAGAGCTGTTCTGCTGTGTAATTCCTGTACAGTGAGAGCTGTTCTGCTGTTTAATTCCTGTACAGTGGGAGCTGTTCTGCTGTTCAATTCCTGTACAGTGGGAGCTGTTCTGCTGTTTAATTCCTGTACAGTGGGAGCTGTTCTGCTGTTTAATTCCTGTACAGTGGGAGCTGTTCTGCTGTTCAATTCCTGTGCAGTTGGAGCTGTTCTGCTGTTTAATTCCTGTACAGTGGGAGCTGTTCTGCTGTTTAATTCCTGTACAGTGGGAACTGTTCTGCTGTTTAATTCCTGTGCAGTTGGAGCTGTTCTGCTGTTTAATTCCTGTACAGTGGGAACTGTTCTACTGTTTAATTCCTGTGCAGTTGGAGCTGTTCTGCTGTTCAATTGTTCTGCTGTTCAATTCCTGTACAGTGGGAGCTGTTCTGCTGTTCAATTCCTGTACAGTGGGAACTGTTCTGCTGTTCAATTCCTGTACAGTGGGAGCTGTTCTGCTCGGGAGGAGCATCCTGTGTGTGTGGCGCAGACACTCAGCTGGTTTGCCTGGCTTTTGGGAGGCTTTGATCAATATTCAGATTGGATTTGTATCAGAAAGACCACACTCTGTTTGCTTACAGTTGGCCAGACCTTTGTGCAAGGAGCAAAATGATGTTTGGAGCTAGAAAAATAGAGCCTTATTTCTGTCCTCCCTGTGGGATTACCAGTGAGGCTGGACCTGGGTGCAGCCCTAAGGACTTGATTTCTGTTGGGAGCAGTGATGAACTTAATTCATTCTTCAAGAAATCATCCCCTGCCCCCAGTACTTCTGATTGAATTCTGAAGTAAATGGCTCTGTGGTTTCTTTCTGTCTGGGTTGTACTACAGAAAAATAGCCTGTTTTATGAATAAAGAGATGTTTTCCCCTCCCTGGGCAGGGATGTTCCCAGCGACTCTGCTGGCTGCAGTTGTTGACATTGAGTGTGATGTGCAGTAGAAAATAACATGTTTTAGAACCAGCAAATTTTCTCATTTACCTGTGGGGAGGATGGTGGCAGCTGCAGTCGCTGATGTTTAGTGTGACAAGGAGCCCAAGGCTTTTCCTGTAGGGAAGGAATGTGTCAAGGTGGATGGGGAATGGTTTAACCCTGGATACACTGGAAGAGTCTTTGCAGAACCCTGAGGGCCTGGAGGTGGTTTGGGCTTGCAAATGCCAGGGCATGAGAGATGGGTGGACTCGCTGCTGAGGGCAGGTCTGTGTGGAATGGGCGCTTCTGGGATTCTGGATTTTTTTATAGGATTTGTCCAAACCCCTGGTGTTTGTCAAGTTGGACTGTCAGTCTCCTGAAATCAGGGTGAATTTTGGTCAGCCAGAGCCTTGGCATGAAATTGTGTGCAGCAGACCACTAAATGTCATTATCCTGACGTTGGGAATGTTCTCCTCTTTCACAGATGCCTTTGTAAATAGCCAGGAATGGACACTGAGCCGATCTGTACCGGAGCTGAAAGTGGTGAGTTTGTGTTTACTTCTGCCTTGGAAAACATCCTGAAAATGTTACACACAAATGTGAATCTTCCACACTTCATTAAATCTACTGTGGGGGAAAAAACATAGGAAGGAATTTTAATCAGTAAAGCATTTTTCTTCTACACAAATATGATAGAATCCCAGGATGGTTTGGGTTGGAAGGGACCTTAAAAATCATCTTGTTCCACCGGCAGGGACACCTTCCACTAGCCCAGATTGCTCCAAGCCCTGTCCAGCCTGGCCTTGGACACTTCCAGGGAGGGGTCTGTCTTTATATATCTTCAGTTTTTATAATCATACTTCAAAGATCTCTCTGTATTTTATTGCTGTTGCAACTTGTCTGGCTCCATGAACCAGCTTCCAAGGGAGGGCTGACACGTCTGTAAGAGGGGGGTGGAAGTTTGCAGCTGATATATAAAGGTTTTTTTGTCTCACCATAATAATTTTTCATTGTTTTTTCAAGGGCCAAATGTCTTCTCTCCCTCTCTTGGAAGACTTTACCTGAATTGATACCAAATTAAAAAAAAAAATATTTTGAATATTCATTTAGTGAATCAAACCCTACATTTTACTGTAACAGTGAGCAGTGATTTAATAGCTGCTTACAATAACTTCCCTTGGCTGAGCTGCTTTCCGTGTAGGTGAAAGAAAAGGCAAAAGTAACACAGGCAGATTGGGGAAGTTTCTCAGGTTTGCTCTTTTAAGAGAAATGAACATGGAGGCCGAGATGAGACCTCCTGGTAGTGGGAATTAAACCAGCAGCTCGGAGTAACTGAGGCCCCATCACTGGGGTGTAATTTTGAAGACAAACACATCCCTAAATACCTCACAGAAGTAAAACTCTAAAGAATTTGGGACTGGAAGGTGTTGGTTGGGTAGGAGTCCAACACTGTGGTGGCTTATTCTGAGGAGGATCTACAGAGGGTTTCCTTGCAAATCCCTTCCCCTTCTCTGAGCCCTGCTAGTTCACAGCACCCCCCAAGGCACCCGGGGCTTGCAGGTGGGACCCAAGCTGTGTTACTGCCTGTTGTAACACAGAACACAAACAGATGATGGTCTCAGGGTATGTTTTTGTCTTGTGACAGCCTGGCTGCATCATGTGAGTACTTGTCTTGGGTATTTTGCCCCCGTGGTGTCTGAACCAGGGGTAGGAAAACAGATTGCAGCTGCCGAGAATTGATTAGCAGTGGTCAGCATGCACAGGATGGCTGTGCCAGGGTGAAAGCAGAACTCTGACCATTACAAAAGTCATAATTGGATTAGAACACTGCAAACTGTGCATTCCAGCAGCACCAGCTGTGCTCCAGCAGGGAGGGCAGATTGGGAACTCCAGCTGGAATGTGCTCTGCCTTTGCTGCCTGTCTGCCCTTGGGGAGCAGTCGTGGCTGTGAGTCCATCTCTGGGTCATTCCCTGCCTTCCAGCCTCGTCCTCGGGGCTCACTGATGGCTGAGGAAGGAAAGGGCCATGTGAAAGCCAGACCTGCTGCTCCAGCAGTGCAGGTGTGGGGATCAGACTTGGCGTGGCAGGGTTAGGAAGGAGCCCCAGCTTTACCCTCTTGAGCAGGATGTGGGGAATAGCTCACTGGGAGAGGTTGTCTTCTCTGCAGGGGCTGGGAGGTCCTGAAGTTGAGGGGTTGGTTGATTTTTATTTCTGATTTATTTATACAGTGGCTGCTGTTGTACACTTTGGGCTCTGCAGAATTTTAAAGGGAATAGAAACTGCTCTGGGAGAGCAGGGGAAGCACCCAGGGCTGCAATAAAGGAAGGATTACATTTCAACATGTCTTTGAGGAAAGAACACCAGTCTTTGCCTCTGCCTCCTGTTTTAGCAATACACTCAGGGCTTGGTTTCTTTCCAGTGTTCAGAAGGATTTTCAAGGTCAGGTTGGACAGGGCTTGGAGCAACCTGGGATAGTGGAAGGTGTCCCTGCCCCTGGCAGGGGGTGGCACTGGATGAGCTCTAAGGTCCCTTCCAACCCAACCCATTCTGGGATCCTGTGGTTGGTTTGTGCTGATCAAATACTTCTACGGAGTTCTACCTAAGGATTTCGATGCTTCTCTGATGGTCAAGAGCGTGGGGAGACCCAGTACCTTTGGTATTCCTGGATCCCATGTATCCAAATGTAAAATAAGGATATGTTAAGCGGAATAAATATGAGGGGTCTTTCTGGATAAAATCACTTAATGTCTTGCTAAAAAATACACAAAGTGCAGTCAGGGCAGCTTTCAAATGCCAAGTGCCATCAGTATATTTAAGCTTTTTTCCCAACAGGCTTTAGTAGGATGTGGGCACAGTGGTTTGGCTTCGTTTTACAGTGTGTCTGGCACTTGCAGATAAATGATTCAGTGTTGCACAAGTCATAAGTGACAAGAGCACTGAGTTGTAGCTGAATTTTCTCCTTTCTGAACTGGGTTAGGGTGGTGTTTTTGTGCCCTAACATGCTTGTCATAACTTTGTGCATTTCAGACATATCCATAAATAAATAGAGATGACTGAGGGGGGTGTGTGTATAAAATATGGGAGAGGGGAATATGACTGCTGTGAAAACATACTGGCATGTTTGTCATACTGTGGGGGATCAGCCTTAAGTATTAATACTGATAAAGAGAGAAACTGGATTAGAAGTCGGATTTTTTTTCTAGTGTAAAACTTATTGCTCCTGGGTTTTAGGAGCAATTGATTGGGAGACCTGGAGCTGTGATGCCAAGCCCTGCACCGAACAAGAGAAGGACAGTTCTCTTAGATTTTCATGTCATGTTTGATCCCTGGTAGGAAAGAGGTGGTGCCTTGTAGGTTCTGAGGTGGGATCTGAAGGAATCCTGTTTTGCCAGGTGAGGAGAAGGCAGATCTCTCCTGAGTGCTTTCTGAAGGAGCTGTCTAGGGAGAAAATAAAACTGTCATGCAATTGCAGATTTTATAGCTGTGTTTGCAACGTGGTCTAGTGGAAGGTGTCCCTGCCCATGGCAGGGGAGTGGAATGGGATGAGTTTTAAGGTCTCTTCCAACCCAAACCAGTCTGAGATTCTGTATGAAATAGTATTTTTTTCACTGAAATACATGTTCCTCCTCCTGATCACGGTGCTTTTGGTATCAGTTTGCAGCATTATAATATCCAAATGCTCTTGTAGCCAGGCATTGTGGATCCCTATAAGGAGGAATGTATCAGAGAACCCAAAGTGCTGTAAAATTATGTATTTTGATGGGACCTTTGGGATACTTAAAAAAAAAATGTTGTATTCTCAAATCAGTTGATGTCTTTCAAATATTTGGGGTCTCTCAATAGAATAAATTACCCCCATCCATGGCCAAAGTATGTAAGTTGTTCACTCTCACTGGACCCCAAGTTGATGCTTTTCTGTTTTTCCTGGCAGTTAAAGTTTTGGCCCAAGTCTAATATAAAATAATGTTAATGTCCATACACACGGGACTTGTAAGCGATTTTTGATATAAAGGGTGGTTTCTTAGGGTTTAGAATTAAGAAAATGGAGTAGAGACTGTGCACTAATGTGTAACTTGTTCCTGCTGCCTCGGTCAGTTTGGCAATCTTGGGCCCATCAGCAGAGTTCATCTTGTCTCCAGGGATCTTATGTTCTGAACCTTTGGGGAGGGTCAAGTAAACATGTGAGAACAGAGTAGGCTTGGTTTGTTTTACAGGGTGAAGTAAGTTCCCATCTCCTCCCCCAGAAACCGAGTGTCCTCAGCACTGTGTGCCCTTTTATAGCAACAGAAAATGCAAATCTCCATGTCTTTTGGAATGGGAGCACCTCCAGGAGGAAAACTCCTATGGTTTTGGGCTGCTTTCTGTTAGTTCTGCCTGGGTTTGAAAAACAAAGGCCAGTGAACCAGCTCAGCAGAAAACTCCTGTGAGCTTTAGGGTCAAGTGCTGCTGGTGGTTGTCAGATGTTCCCAGGCAGGTGTTGGGCATGGATGGTTTGAGTTGGGAACTTCTTGGTAAAGTCAGGGACTTCAACACATCCTGGTGGAGACCTGAGTGCCCTTTCCAGTGCCTAAAGGGGCTCCAGGAGAGCTGGAGAGGGACTGGGGACAAGGGATGGAGTGATAGGACGAGGGGGAATGGCTTCCCACTGCCAAAGGGCAGGGATAGATGGGATAGTGGGAAGGAATTCCTCCCTGTGAGGGTGGGGAGGGCCTGGGCTGGAATTCCCAGAGAAGCTGTGGCTGCCCCTGGATCCCTGGAAGTGTCCAAGGCCAGGTTGGAGCGACCTGGGCTAGTGGGAGGTGTCCCTGCCCATGGCAGGGGGTGGGATGGATGATATTCAAGGTCTCTTCCAGCCCAAACCATCCTGTGCTGGTGGACGTGGCAAGATGAGTCTGCCCACAGCCACAGATATCACGTGTGCTTCAGGGTGAGTCAGTGGGAATCACAGAGCGCAGCCTCCAGAGGTGTTCCCAGTATGAAAGCTTCTCCCAGTGAAGAGGTGCCAGGCTCCTCCCTGCAGTCTCTGTGTTCCCTGGTGTCCCATGGGCAGCTGAGCACAGGAGTGCTGCGGGCAGAGCCCGAGTTCCCCTGTCAGCTCTGCTGTAAACTTTGTCTTGGCGTCTTTGGGACTGTTCAGTGGCGTGGGCTTTCTCCTCGAGCCCTGAGATGTTATTTCAGGGTTCTCGTGGAACGTTCTGCTTTTCCCAGGGATTAATGCACTGGGTTTCTGTTCCCTCTGTGTGTCTGCAGGGGATCGTGGGTAACCTGGCCAGTGGCAAGTCCGCGCTCGTGCACCGGTACCTGACGGGCACCTACGTCCAGGAGGAGTCACCCGAAGGTACGTGCTCTGCCCTCACCACTGCTCTGCCCCCACAGGCTGCATCTGTCTCCATTTGAATCATGCAGAAATGAATTAGCAAAGGATCTCATTTGCTGTTTCAGAATTCGTGGAGATTTCTCCTGGAGTTCTCCAGACTGAGCTCAGTATGCACGACGATATAGTCGGAGCTGTTCCGTAGCTCCGGAGCATCCTTAAATACTCTGGCCCCCAGGATGTGTCCTTATGGGAGACTCAGTCCTGGTGGAGAGGAGCTGACTGCTCTCAGTGGTGCTGCTGCTTTCAGTTGGACTGTTGAAAGTCACTGTCTGTAGTATAGGATTTCTGCACAATTGGGATTTGGGGAGAATAAAACAACTTCATGAGCTTAAACTAAAGATATAATTTGTTCATTGTTTAATGTATTAAGTATTTAGTCTTGACTTTTTTTTAATGTTCTCATAGCATAGCAAATGAATTTGTATGCTGTAGTGTTTAACATTAATCCAAAAATATCATAGCATAGCACCTTATCAAGGTGTGTCTTAGAATAAATACTTTTTTTTGATTATTTTTCTTTATCTGTTCTCCTTATGAACTTTTAAATCCAACTCTGAGACACTGAATTTCTGGTTCCTTCTTTTCCTTACTGGCTGTTCCATTCTTTGCAGATATGGATGCAGGTAACTATACATTGTCTCCATGGCAGCTCTCCTTTGGAAGGGACAGACGGTGGTTTCTGTACTAGAGCATTTTCCCCTTGTTTTGTGTATCATTTTGAGTTGTTTCCTTTTGATTTCAAGTCTTTAGTACATCTCACTGTTTTTGTCTCTTGCTGTAGTTGTCTCCTCAGCAGTAGTTTGTAGCTTCATGCATCTCTGATAACATTTGTTCCTAATTAACTCTTACCAGAGGAAGCTGTTCAGCTCAACAGTTGACGTTTTAACAACCTGGAATTGTAGTTAAAGTGGGAGGAAAGGGAAAGGGAGGGATGGACAAGGCTTTTTTCTGTGTGGTATTGCAGCAACAGTGAAGGCTTCCAGTTTCTAAGTTTGCCTGAAATGCTTTTGCTGCTTTGTAGCTAGAACTGATAATGATTGATAATAATAATGGAGCCTCTCCCCAAAGCTATGTGTAGATCCTGGTTCTGGATGCTGAGAGTGAGAAATGGTGATGTGAGGGGCAGATCCACCAGTTTACAGCAACCCTTCAGCAAAAATCAGTATCTCAGCGTCTCTGCACAAACAGAAAATATTTTGGGCTGTTTTCTCCTTGCAAGACTCCGATCTATTGGCTGTTCCCAGGGCTGGCAGCCCTCTCCTCCTGTAGGATGAATATTTTGGGTGGTATTCCTTGGGAGTGTTGCCATCTGTCCTCTTTGTCTTGAAGGATTTTTATTTACAGTGACGTTCTGACTGTTTTTCCTGGAAGGATTAGATGACAAAAGCAGTGTCAAATCATTTCTTTGCACGTAAGTGTAGCTGACAAGCCTCACTAATGACACTGCTGCATTTCATTAGCAGAAGGAAAACTGGAATATTTAAGAGCTTTAATTTGCCTTGTGTGAGGGATAAGGGCAGATTTCTAATCAAGTTAATACTGAAGGAGATACAACCCATATAACCCATCCTTAGTAATACCTGTAGTGGTGGTTTGTGAGTGTTTCTGTTCTTTGTCATAGAATCTCAGGATGGTGTGGGTTTGGAAGGACCTTAAAGCCCCCCCAGTCCCACCCCCTGCCCTGGGCAGGGACACCCTCCCTAGATCAGGTTGCTCCAAGCCCTGTCCAGCCTGGCCTTGGACACTTCCAGGTCATCCAGGCACAGTCCCACACAGCAGGCAAAGTGTCATCCTTTACCTTGCAGACCTCTTTTCCTCTGCTGAGGGGTGGTAAATGTGCTGGGTTGTTCAGCTGCTAAAGAAGGGATGGATATGGGACATTGAGGTGTCAGCTGCTTGATTAGGGAAGAAGACCCCAAGTTCCCTGACTGAGAATGGCTTCCTGACAGCTCAGTTTGTCAGGCATCGTGCAGTGAGTACCCAGTGGGTACAGTCATGGCTCTTGCTCCACGTGGAGGTGGTGATTAGGGTCAGGGACTGCTCTTTGTGCTCTCCTTGGCTCCAGTTGCCATGAGACCATCCCTCAACCAGCCAGGTCCGGGGTCTCCTGGAGCCCTTGGAGGCAGCTGCAGTGTTCCAGTAAATGAATTTTATGTGAAGGTGGTTTCCAGTTTCCTTCAGCCCTTTAAGGTGAGATATTTCTCTTGCTGCCCGACACCACCTCCCCTCCAAGAGGAGGACTCAGTTAAGGGGTAAAGCAGTTTTCTCTCACTGTCTGGACTACCTTTGATTTCTGTTCAGAACTCGTTTTAGGCCCTGGTGTGTTCATAGCATGAAAACCTTTGTTTTCTCGAAGTATAAGGGTTTGTTAGGAAGAAAGTTTGCTTTTAGACTCTTGCTTTGCATATTTAGGATGCAAATAGCTGTGCTCCTGTGTGACACATTTAAAATCAGGTGGATTTGGATGTAAGGAAAGAAGTGATGTGTTACCCTGCAGTGAGTGGGAATCTCAGGAGTCTGGGACTTCCAGGTTTTTTTCTGTGATGGTACAACAAGGAAATGATGGGAAATAGGGAATCCTAGTGACTTTTTATCTTCTAAGTACCTTCCAAGTGATTGGAAGAAACACTCCTGCTGCTGGGTGTGTGACATGCTGAAACAGGAGATGAGGTGTGTGAAGCCTGGGGTCTTTCTTTTCCCCCAGCTAAAATGGAATTGTGCCTGTAGGAACAGAGTGAGCCCAGGGCTGGGTGTGGAATTTGAGGCTGAGTTCTTTGCAGACCAAGGTGAGCTGAGGTTGACAGGAATGGGGAGTGTCAGGAGATTCTGTTGCTGTTCGGGCTTTGTTCCCAAAAAGCCACCGAGGTGTGAAACATGACTTAAAGGCTTTTCCACGCCTCTGCTGTGTCTGTGAATATCTTAAGTCATATCATTATTATCTCAGTACTTTTTTTCCAGTGAGTGTAATAAAAAAAAAAAGGCAGATGAATTGTCCAAGATGTCTCAGCTGGGATGAGGAAAAAGGAGGGTTTTTTCCTCCATGTACTTTGGGATATATTTAAGATTTATTTTTTTTTTTTTATGTGGAGTAAATAGGATCTGTGTTTCCAAAGGCATAAAACCCATCCAGCACCCTGACTCGAGGCAGCAAGTAGCTGTTGCAGTCAGTGAGGTTTCATCTCCTGTGTGTGGAGGAACTTGTAATAAAAATGAAATTTTCCCCCAGTAAGAGGTACGGAATAAAGCCTTTAATGGTGTTCTCCAGAAAGCTGTGAGCATTTACTTTCTCTCCAAATTTGACCTAAAAATAATTTTATACTATTACAGCTTTCACCAAATAACTTTTTTTCAGAAGCACAGTGAACAGTGTATCACTTGAATGGCAGGAATGGTCATGAAATGGTCATAAAATAGCAGGAATGGTCGTGGTTATTATTAAAATGCTAAACCAAGTGTCACCTTCAGCCTTCCCTTTGAAGAATGTAATGGAAGCATCACGAAAATAAGTTCCCAGCCTGTAACAAAGACACGTATCAACAATCTTAAAGGTCTTTTCCAACCTAAAGGATTCTGATTCTACGTAGAAATTACATCTTGGGGGATGGATGTCCATGTTTTTCAATTTATTGTCTCTAGTAACTATTTCTGTCCCATTCTTCCCCAGCAAAGGGTAATTATGCAAGGAGGATTGAGGCAGACTGCTTTAAAATTTCAGCTGCTTTCCTTCCCATCCTCTTAAGAGATTTTGTCTGGTTACAGACTCTTACACAATATCTGTGCAGAAAGTTCAAGCACAATCTATTAACTGGGATGACCTTCCAGGTGGCTTCAGTCAGGTCTGATGCTTCCCTTGCTGGGCTGAATCCAAGAATGGAGCTGCTTCTGGGAAAAAAGAAATGTTAAAAAAAGGACCAGGCCAGGCTGGACAGGGCTTGGAGCAACCTGGGATAGTGGGAGGTCCCTTCCAAGCCAAACCCTTTGGGATTCTGGGATCCCTTGGGCCTCACAGTTCGGTGTTTTGGGATGAAGAGAACATGGGAGCTGCAGCAGAATTGGACAGTTTTCCCTTCTGTAGCTCTGACTCTTGTTCCCTTCTCCCTGTGATTCATGTAATCCTTCCTGCTGGGAACAATTAGTTTCCTAAGGTTGCCAGTCTCTTTACAGAAGCCGCTGGCTATTTTTATCCAGTTAATATTTTTTCAAATAAGTAGGAAGGCCATATTTAGTAAACACCCCAATTTGATCTCTCCTGAATAAAGAGAGGATGTGCCCCAGACTAATCTGTGCTCTCTGTTCTCAGCAAGCAGCTGGCTGAAATGCAAATGAAGAGCAGGGAAATGTGTCCCCTGAGGGTGTATTTAGGTGCTTTTCTTGGAAACTCTTGCTTTTTCATTCATGATTTTTTGGAATTCCAGAAAGTGACCATCACACACGGTCATATACTGACATCGGGCCTGTTTATGTGCTTGTACAGGGAGATTTTGCAAGAATGCCAAGTGCACAGGAGTTCAAAAAAACCACATTAACCTTAAAGTCACGTTTTGAAGTTCTTGAGCTACAAAACTCAGGGAAGCTGAAATTTTCCACTTTGATTTCAGTGTTTACAAGCTTTTTGTTTACAGATCCTTTCAGTGTTTCACGAGCTCCTGCAGCACTTTGAGGCAGCTGAAGGTACCTGAGTAGTTTTCCTGTGTGTAAACCCACATGTGTGCAGGGAACAGGGATGACTTGAGGCACGTGTTTCAAAATTACCTATTTCCAGTTCTTTGTCTTCCATTCTTTTCAAACAGGATTGGCTGATTATTTTTATTTGGCATTTCATGCTGACACCCAGATATAAAACAACACTTGTCTCTTTTTGATCCTTTTAAAGTGCTGCTGCAGTGGGCTCTCCTGGGCTTTTGGAGCCTTTCAGGCTTAGCATAAAAGACACAAAATGTTTATGTATTCTGCCCCCTCCCCTCTGGAGCCCTTCCCTCTCCTCCTCCTCCTCCTGGGACTGCCTGTGTGGGTTGGAGAATCCTTTGAAAACCTCTCTGTTCCAGCCGTTGAGTTGGCAACTGTTTCAAGTGTCACCTAAATAAGGAACTCTGGTAATTAAAGGAAGAACTCAAGAATTTGCTCTTTTCCTGGGCAGAAGGTGCTGAAGAAGCAGTTTCCTACAAAGGGGGCTTCCCTTTTTGAGCTGTTTAAGGTGATGTCTTTAACATGTTGCACCTTGAATACTCCAAGGTTTGGATGAGTAGCGTCTTTAGGATTTGTGCCCTTCTCCTAAAAGGCTCCTTGGAATGTTGTGTCCCCAGTTAAAACTGTAATGCAGATTTGTAGCTGCTCTTAATAGCAATACAAGTGGCTTCTCCCGAGTAACAAGCAATAGGATGAGGGGAAACGTCCTCAACCTGTGCCAGGGAAGGTTAAATTGGATATTAGGGGAAATTTCTTCACCCGAAGTGTTGTCGAGCATCAGAACAGGCTGCCCAGGGCAGGGGTGGAGTCACCATCCCTGGAAGTGTTCCCAAAACGTGGTATGTGGCACTTGGGGACGTGGTTTAGTGGTGGCTTTGGCAGTGCTGGGTCAGTTGTTGGACTTAATCTTGGAGGGCTTCTCCAACCTCACTGTGTG